AGTTGACCAAAAACTCGACCCTAACCAGATCCGTTGACATCCCTATCCAAAATCACTTATTGGTACTAGAAACAATGTCAAACAATATATTTTTTGTTATCAAAATGCGTTTAGAACTGGATTTTTTAATTTAACTAGAAAAGACGAATATTTCAGCAATTGCGATGAGAAAACTCGTTAGAATAAAAAGATAATTTTATCATGTTTGTTATAATATTAATTTTGCTTCAGCATGCTTTTGCCTTTTCATTCTTTTTTTTCGTTGGTTGTCTATAGACAAATTTTTAATTTAATTAATTTTTAAAAATTATTAATTTAAAATTAATTTTTGGTTTCATTAAAAAATATTTAGGCTAACATTAGTTATTTTATTGTAATATTAAAAAGTTGTTGTGTTTATTAATATTATTTAATTTATTTTATTTTTAATTTATAATATCATGTCTCGAAAGATCATTTTATCTTCTCAAAAGTACTTTTTGACCGTAATATTAAACACTAAAATTTTAAACTCAACCTCTCAAAATCACTTTTAGAATAAGTTTCTTGCAACACTTTTCCACAACAATTTTCAAAAGCAACGCCAAACTGGTATCATTGTCCCTCCCAATATTGAATCCTAACTATGATCATATCTTACGGAAAGTTCTACGGTATGACAGTATAATATACAGTTAAAAAAAAAGTGTTATCGATTTTGATATTATTTTAAATAATAAAATCGATAAAAAATACCGACAATTACCGATATAGGTAATAGCAGTAGAAAAAGTCGGTCAAAAAAATAATATTTTCGGTAAAGCGCTACCTAAAATATTATTTTTTTGACCGGATTTTTTCTACCGTGTACCTATATCGGTAATTAGAACCGGTAAAAATAATAATATTTTCGATCATTTTTTATTAATTTTATTATTTAAAATAATAACAAAACCGATAACACCTTATTTTACCTGTATATTAAAATGCCACACGTAACATTTCCCCATATCTTACATTATACAATGAAAAGATGCAGTCAAATGTTGGGAGTTTTGTAGTGTAGGTTAAAGGACAAAAGAAAGAGCAATGATGAACTCCATGACTGCTTTCAAAGAACAGCTTTTGGATGTGATTTATCATTGGTGATGGGTGCATAACATATATAGCAGCTAGGTAGCTAGGTAGACTGGCTGCAGGTCAAGGTTTATGATCACATGAGATTCTCATATAGAATTCGGGTTCAATAGCAGGGAATATATTAGCTGCATAAACAACAACCCGAATACCAACATTTCACTTACTCCAATTGCTGTACCCGACAATCTCTTATCGGACCTTCAATCTCTGATACATATTTTTCTGCAAAACAAACCAATCATTTCCACTTCAAGGAAAAGCCTTCAATGTAGTTGGAATACAGTAAAATTTTAGTTTAGACATTGATGTTTTATTCATTTTTAATCCTTATAGATATTTATACATAGGAAAAGAAGTAACAAAATGCCACATGAACCGAAGCCCAAACCTCCGGGACAAAAGCTTATATGCATAAGGTTTAAACTATCAGGGGCTAAAGTTGTATTAAAAAAAATGTTTAGGAGCAGAATTTAAGCGGAATAAAATTAGGGGTGGACATTGAGAAGCTGTCAAGGATGAATTGGTTGGTTGATCTGAAACACATACCAAGAGAGGCCAATGACGTTGCAGATCTCATTGCTAAACAGATGTGGAATCGACAGAAGGATTCTGTATTTCTACCAAATCCCCTGAGGGAAGCAGAGGATTTGTTATTAGCTAATATAACGGCAGCAAATTCAAAATTTTGAAAGTTAAGTTTAACTCAACTTTAAAATTTGTGAACTTAAAATCGATTCGAATTTAAAATAAAAAAATTAAAACTTAAAACAAGCTCGAGAAAATTTTTTGTCACTTCCATTTCTTCAAATCTCATCCATTTTACCTTTAATTTTAACCTTTTTCTGAAAAGTTACAGTCCATTGAAGTAAAAAAAATAGAATGACAGTTGTTTTTAATATTTGAATTTCGAGTATTGAGAATCTCAATTATCATGCATGTTAGTATTATTTGACTAGAATTAGTTAGTCTTGTGAAAATATCCAAAATTATAACTATCATCATAAATTAAATACGTAATTTGAATAATTTTTAAACATTTAAACTAGTCATTTTATATCATATTAAGACCATACATGGAAAATGTTAAAAATCCAATCAAAATTTTCAAACAAAAAATAGATATGAACAAATCTGACTGTATCGACAAAGGAACCACAAATAATGATTAAACTATTGAAAAATCTCGAGAACCATAAATTAGAGCCGAACATCATGAGAACTATCCATGAACACAAAACCGTCTACCCAAATTCAATCGGAGAGTCCATAGTAGGAAATATCAACAAGATTATAAATAAGCGTCATCTTGATCATTCGTGTATCGTCAAAACCAACATTGAGAAAATAAAAAATAAAAAGAACGGCCGAACAATCAAGAAAGAAAAAAAATATATCACAAAGACAGAGAAAAAATGTTATAAAGATATAATTATTCTTATTAAAAAAATTAAAAAAAAAACTCGATGATCGACAACCAACATTAAACTGATCCACCACTCACTAAACAAAATCAAAGAAAAAAGGTTAATATGATATAGAAAACAATATAAATCCTAAGAGAGAGAAAATGAGAGAGCGGCTAGGTTTCATATATTATTATTAAAAATAACTTTTTTTAAATAAAAAATTAAATAATTTTAACCTAATGAACATGATCGAAAATAGTATCAAGATAATTTTTAACCGTGGCGTCTAACCCCTTTAATCTATCTTTTTACAATTTCAAAATAATAAAATGTCATCCCAGTAAACTTGTAACTTTTACAAGTATAAAGTTACAAACCACGTCACATAAAATCTACCAAGGGCAAGGCTTTTCTCAACTTAATTCTAAAAGCTAAAGCCTAACGTAAGATTTGATCATGAAAAAGCTAGGATAAATTACGCGTTTAATATCTAAATTATCAGTTTTAATATATTTTAGTATTTAAACTATCAAATTTCTTTAAAAATCATACCTGAAGTTTAATTTTTGTTTCATTTTAGTACTTTTGTTCAAAATTTAACTTTAAGTTTTGGAAAAAAAATTGAAAGTTTAAGCACTAAACATACCAAAACCGATAGTTTAGGTACTAAACACGTTAAGTTTTTAACGACGTGATATTAAAATGAAATAAAAACTAAACATTAGATATGATTTTGAAAAAAAAATTAAAGTTTAGGTATTAAAACGGATCAAAACTGATAATTTAATTTAAGTACTAAATGTATAGTTTACCCAAAAACTTAACTAATAAATAATCATGTACTCATACTCAATTTCAAAATAATAATGATTTATTACGTATTTAATCTAAAAATTTAGGAGACAAAAGTCAAATTTTACTTAAATTTAAACTAATAAGAACCTAAAATGCTATTAAACCTAAAATTTTGAGAGTGGCTAGCCCCTCTACACCCTATATTGCCCCGTCCCTGCTCACTTTCAAAACAAAGGTTTTGGATAACATTTGGATATACTACTTGGAGCATTTTTGTAGCAGATTGTTAATAACTGTTTTCAATTCTTCTTTATGTCAGCCTGAAGTGTGTTTTGTAGCTGGTCCTGAAAACCAGACCTCTACTTATGCACCCAAAAACATATGGCATAATGCTAAATTTATTCAAACGTTTATTAAAATAGTCATTTTGGACTCTATTGTTCTTTTAAAACATTTTGACTTCCAACGTTTTACTTGGAGGTAAAAAAACTCCCTTTAAAGATGAAACCTAAAATGAAACCTTGATGGTTAAATGTCCCATAAACAAAAAAGAATAAGGGACAAAATAATTATTCTGTTAAATATTAAGGATCTTTTACCTTAAAATAAAACATTAAAGACTAAAATACTCTAAAAATAAAATATATGACAAAGTGACAATTTTAATAAATATTGGGGCTAGTTTTGATATTATCAAAACTTAATGCACTCAACAGATTAATGTTTGGATATGCTTCAGTAGGGTATGAAGTATGAACCATGATACATACTTCAGTAGGGTATGATATATATATATATATAGAGAGGGAGAGAGAGAGGACGGTGTATATATATTTTTATCTTTTACGTAAACTATATCTTTGTTGCCATTTTTTTTGTATGAGGAATACTGAAATTTTCTTTAAAAAATTTCATGACTCACTTAGAGGTAAACATATTATTCCCGTTATTTAACTGCAATCTCCTAATATGATTATAGTCAATTTCATCATCAAATAAATTTACTATATTATAGTCAGGTCTATGTACCTATCGACCTATTAATAGCTATCAATCCGTAGACTGACACTGAGAATCTTATTATCCATTGGACATGTATACTAGCACAAATTACATTAAAGGGGAGGATATTTCAATCGAACACCCATTATTTATCATCTTCCACCGTCATTTTCTCTCATTTCTTCAAATCATCAACCATAATTCTTCGTCTAGTTTACACCAAATGAACCGTATAAAACCATCACCCTCCTATTCCACTATCAACAACATCATATATTGTGATCAAAGTAATTAATAAGCTGCACTGGTATATGTAGATAGGCGATAGCTATCGATTGAGCTGTCCTCGATATTTTGAACACAACAAACGGGGAACTGACGTGTGTACCAAGAACATGTGACTCGTTACAAAGATTCAGCAAATCACTTGATGGCCAATATGTTTATATTTTGAGGTGCAGGCCATGTAGCTAGTTTACCCCTTGTTGCCCTTGTTAAATAAGCGAACGACTCTCTCTCTCTCTCTCTCTTTCTCTGAAACACTGCCACATAGTATCTTTCTTTCACTCGTTCAATAAAGATTGAAAGTGAGGGTTTTTGTAGCAGTTAGCCCATTACAAGAAAGATCAGGCTGAAATCCAAGCTTGTTCCTTTTTAGAGACACAAAAAGGAGAGAAGATGGTTGACAGTATCGAGGATAAGGTGCTGGTTAGGGAATTTGATGATGAAAAAGATATTGAAATGGTGGGGGAGCTTGAGAAAAATTGTGAAATATTAGGGTCTAATGATAAGGGGACCTCCATTTTTACAAACATGGTGGGTGACCCATTGTGTAGAATTAGGTTCTTTCCACTTCATCTCATGCTGGTGAGTGATGTCAACTTCAACAACAACATGTAACCCTAGCTTAGCTACATCTTGTTCCTTCTTTATCTATCATTGTCCCCATTTGAGATCACTATTGACGGTCTTTGTAGCCTGTTGGCGGCTGATGTGCTTGAAAAAATGGCCTACAGGTAGCTGTGCTGCGTGAAAATGGGGAGCTTGTCGGAGTGATCCGAGGCTGCATCAAGCATGTGGGGACTAAATTTGGAGCAACATTTTTCAAGTTGGGTTGCATTTTAGGCCTTCGGGTGTCTCCCATACATCGGTATTCATTCTGTCTCTCTCACCTCCTTTATGATCTTTCCTTGTTTCATTGTGGAGTCACTGTTCATCTTTTCATTTACTTGTTTCTAGGGCAAAAACCTTTTTTTATTAGTTCGAGTGATTATAAGGTGGTATATGTTTAGAATTTTTCTTAACATATTAATAACACATATCTTACAAACGCAATTACTCGAACCTAAATCGTTTAAGTAAAATAACATCCTCTAAGGAAAACCCCATTTTAAATACAAAACAATACAAATCTTAATCTCTTGTTTCTAGGGCAAAACCCCTTTTTGGAAACAATACACTTTTAAAAAAGCTTCTTTTTTCTTCTTTTCCTTCACCTTTTTGAACATATTTGAAATACTTGAGAAGAGTATAACGGCAATTTTAATCATATGGATAGTCAAGAACTTAGGCATATATCAATCATAGTATGATTTTCCCCTTTTTCTAATATCTTTCCTGTATACTCAAAACCCTAATTTTCTTGCAAATGATTAGTACATTTTTAAACCAATGTAGGAGGATGGGGATTGGATTAAAACTAGTGAGAGAAATGGAAGAATGGTTGATAAACAATGAAGCACACTACACATTCTTAGCAACAGAAAAGGACAATGTAGCCTCCACAAATCTCTTCACTGCCAAATGCAATTACAGACACTTGAGTTCATTACTGATATTTGTACAACCCATCAGTATCGCAATGGATCATCAAGGGGTTATTTCTCAAGACATAATAGTAGAGAAGCTAAACATAGAGCAAGCCATTAGTTTTTACAACAACAAGCTTAAAGACAAAGACATATATTTGACAGACATTGAAGCAATCCTCAAGGAAAAGCTCAGCCTTGGCACATGGGTATCTTATTTCAAACAAGATAAAGAGAAGAACAACAGTGTTGAAGATATTGTAAGTACAAGTCCAAGCTCTTGGGCCATGTTTAGTATATGGAACTCATGTGACGCTTATCACCCATTGAAACCGTTTGGTTTCTTGTTCCTTTATGGACTCCTCGGTGAAGGGGAGAGGCTCGGGGAGGTGATGAAATCTGCGTGGAGCTTCACGTCGAGATTGGCCGAGAATGTGAAGGATTGTGAAGTGATTATAACCGAGTTAGGGGTCTCCGATCCTCTCGTGGAACATGTACCATATCAATCGTCGATGTCGACGATCGAAGACGTTTGGTACTTGAAGAAAGTGATCAATGGATCCATGAATGATGAAGATGAGATAGGGATGATGGGAGAACTGGGGAATGTGGTTGTTGATCCAAGAGATTTTTAGGGTTAATGTAAACTCCTGTTAGTTTAGTTATGTTTTTTTTTATTTAGGGGATTATAAAGTAATATTTATTTTATATGAATTTAAGACTGCATTTGCTTTTAAATCGGTTCAACGATACTATATTCTTTACTTTAAATTATAAAATATATTTTTTTTGAAAAAGTAACTGTATATAAAATCATATATTAATTTACTAATTGAATTTGAATTAATTTTACAATTTTAATTACTTAATGTTTATAGATTTAGGTTGAGATAAGATTATATATTGAGTTTGAATTTTGATTTGAATGACAGGTATAATATTTATACAGGTTTGGAAATTAGATAATATATATAAATTTGGGTGTAAAAATTTAAAAAATATTAGAAAAATATAAAGATAACATGTTTGAATCAATATCTCTAATTGGTCTAAAATTAAAATTGACTTAATCAAATTGATTTCATCGAATAAACTCGAATGGATTAAACTTGTTTAATCGGTCTCGTCTTGCCATTAATAATGTGTATTGTGTAGTATTTATTTTAAATACCCCCAATCATTAAACAATAAACGTTCAAATATCATATAGTATGTAGTGCTCGAATTTAAAACTTATAAAAATAACAATCATCCCTTTAACTACTGAGGTAATTTAGTTCGTATATTTTTATAGTGAAATTGATATGCATTTCATTAATCATAAGTAGTATAATATACTTTTTGGTAACTGTACCACAGTATATGATACATACAATATAACATAGGCACATAGTGTATTGTTTTACATAAAAAAAAGTACATACAATATAACACAATTATACTATATAGCTATATTTTATAGTTGTACATAAATAATATTATTATAATATAACATAATTGTAGTTTATGATAGCTTATAGTATACACAAGGTACATTGCATCATTATATAGTATATGATTCACCAACAGCTAGATGGTTTAGTAGGATAAGGTATTGGATTCGTTAAGTAATGTCAGAAGTTTGAATCCTGACGTTTATAAATGAAGCAAATTGAACTGGAAGAGTCACCTTCGTTTCTACAGTACCCGATCTAGATTAATCGTTTGATAAATTAGATATCAATGGTTATAAAAAAATATATAATATATTATTCATACAGAATAACAAAAATTATCATTAAAATTTTAATTTCTTTTCAAAATTTTATTATTTTTAAATTAAATTTTGGTTTGCTTTCATTTTCTTACTTTTGGGCTTGAGATTTAGAATGGTTGTCCATTTTTCCCATATGTAATGGGGTAAGGGGGAGGTAAGATAGTAGGCTGTCCCCAACATTAGGTTGAGAGCAGCTTCCGTAGGAGACCTCTAAATTATGAAATGCCCTTCATAGGACTCGATCCCACGACCTCGAGATTAATAACCTTGTGCTCTACCAACTGAGCTGGATGGTCATTTTTATGGGCTTGAGATTTAGGATATAAATATATGATGAGTTCATTTTGGGTTTTTGTAATAATGGATATGTTGATTGGGTTTGGGCTTGTGCTAATATATTTTGGTTTGAGTTTAGGAATAAATATTTTAGAGTTTAAATTTCAAATTCAACTTGATATGATTTTAAACATTTTCTGTGTTTTTCAACTTGAAAATGTTTCAAACGATCACGCAATCATTTTGCAATCACCATTTTTTTTAATTATTATTAAGCAAAAAACAACCAAAACATTAAATTATTATATCAAATACAAGCCCGAGTACAGAATAGGGCCCACAAGTGAATTAGGGTTTCGTCTTAAGCTCAGCTGCCCCACGAGCGCCATCAAGCGCCCAAGTTTCCCCGCGCGTCAGGCACACCGCCCGGATGAGAAGAGATGATTTTTTCACAAACTAAATAACTTTATCAAAATTGACATTTCTTTTTCTCTGACCACTGTAATTGGATTACGTGGATACATATTCTAATATTTTCACAGTAGGTATCCCCAATGTAGTAGTGAATTGAATTTATTTATAGGGTAAATTGTAAATTTTTATCACTCAACTTTCGTTTTACTATTATTTTGGTTATTAAAATTTACAAAAGTTTAATTTATTATTAGACTTTTGATTTTTTTCTATTTTAGTCATTTTATCATTAAATAATTAACAACGTTATGACTCATTATTTATCTTTTAAAAACTATAAAATAATCCCAGAACTTTTTTTTGTGAAAACCCCAATTTCAAATTCCTTTGATTCTTGACAATAGAACATCTTCTTCCAAATCTCAATGATGGGGAGGTGGATAAAGAGGAAGCAAACTATATATTAGGATTTCACGTTGATCCGATGGTGGATATTGTAGATTAGAGTGATTTAGGGTTTTATAATTTTGGATTCGAGGTTGAGTTTCACGAGTTTTAAAGTGATTTTAGAAAAATCTAAAATGATGGAGTGGTAGAGGACAATGAGACGAATTCATCGGTATTTTGATTGGTTAGAGAGAAAAAAAGAAAAAAAAATAATAAATGATGTGGAAGAAACGTGGATGTCATGTTAACAAAAAAGCAGTCAACATTAGCATACATTATGTCACCCTTCCATTTATGATTTAACGTTCGAGTGGAGCAAACTAAAAGTTCAAAGATTAAATTAAAAAATTAACCTTTTATGACCAAAATAAAAATAAATCAAATTTGAGTGATGAAATTTACAATTTACCCTTATTTAAACAACCGATCAAGAAATAAATTTAGGTAAAATTTTACTATTAGTCCCTTTTGTTTTTTATCTGTTTGATTCTGGTCACCAATTTTTTAATTAAGTGCACTTAATCTCATACATTATCGATCTGTCCCATTTAATTTCTTCAGCCTCCTCCTCCTTCTTCTTCTTCAAATATCTCACTGCACTCATACTTGCCATGAAAGAGCAGATTGTTGAGTGAAGGTTAAAGGAGGTGTTCATTATTCTTGGGGTCGACAAGGTTCATTGATATGTGTTTTGCCAATGGTGGTGACGGTGGTTTTAATGGTGCAAACAACAAGAAAAGTTAAGAATAAAAAGTACAGAAGGAGTAAAAAAGGAGAACATGAAATTAAACCTGTTTCAAATTGCAGAAGCCTTCATAAACAGCAAGAATAGAGTCGAACGCTTCGACAAGCGATTAAAATGAAGATTTTCCACCGTCCCTCCTCCTCCTCCTCCACCACCACCACAAGAAATGGTCTCTCTGTCTCCAACAAATTTTCATTTCAGCGTTTTTTCTGTCCTTCCTTGCATAGACCAAAGTTCAGGCTCATATACTGCTTATATATGCATATAGAGAGACGGAAGTGTTAGGTTGGTTCTCAAGAAAGATAGAAGAGAAGCAAGTGGTTGCGTGCGATTTTTTAGGCTTAATTGTCCAACCAGACTAGAAAGTTGTCAGTGGTAGTGACGGTAGTTTTAATGGTGCAAACACTTCCGTCTTTTTCACCTAAAGAGAGTAAATTTACCAGTGGAGACTATGATTCTGGTTTTATTGATTTACATGTTGATTTTGAAACCGAATCTGAAAGGTATATCCCTGTAATTTTATGTCTGTTAACAATGGATGAAAGAAGGGACAAAGGGAGCAGAAGAAGTTTCGAAGGTCACCATCAACTTCTCTTTAAGGGTTTAACGTATCATGTCTGGGAAGGAATTTTCCACCTCAGTTCACTTGGATTCCCAATAATTCTCATGAAGAAGGTAACACAAGTTAAATCGGAGGAACAGTTGTAGAAGATCAAGTCCCAATATTTGTTTTTGTTTAGGCACCCAAGCTTGTCATCAATGGGTTGTAGCCAACATGGTAGGCTTAGGAGGTTTATTTTATGGTAATTTAAAAATAAAAAAATTCACGTGTCCCAAAGGGAGGAATAAGGTATGAAGAAGAAGGAGAAGAATGGGGTCTTGCTGCTGGCCCATAGCATCATTTGGAGTTTTATTTGTGGTGTTGAATTTTTTGCTGTATCGAGACCATATTTTTGAAGAAGAAGAAGAACCAGATAACTGAAGAAGAAGCAGCGACAGACACGTGAAGAAAACAGCCATGTGATTTTTTATTTTTTAATAAAAAATAAACTTGTCCAATCTCGGGCTGCTTCCCTCGATCCATCCCTGCATGATACGATAATTATGTTCTGAATAAGATTGATATACACTCGGAAAATCATATTGCATGTTGTGCAGCATTCTTAGTTAAATGCATTCTTAGTTTCTAACATATTGCATTTTATGCAGCATTCTGGGCTAATTGCCAATAGCTATGGATTATGTTCTGAATAAGACTGACAAACACTTGGAATATCATAGTAGCCGTGTGGATTTCACACGGATGATGTGTTAAAGAGGATAAGGGAAGTTGAAGAACTTAAGGGAAGTTGAAGAACTTATTCAACAAGGTAAATTCCATGAAGGTTTGGTTGTTTACAATCCTCAACGGATTGGACAAGTTTTGTCGACAGCAACTTTATCAGGTGAAGAGCAAAGGCGTGTGTTGAAGAGATTTGGCAATGCTTGATGGATGATGAGGTTTGGAAGATAGGAGTTTGGGGGATGGGTGGTGTTGGGAAAACAAGCATATTGAAGGTTGTAAACAATCAACTCTTAAAAGAGATGGGGAAGTGATACAGGGGGATCTGAGACAGATGATGCTGAGTTGTCAGATTGCACCTTGATGGCGCTGAGATACCATGAATTGGCATATCAGCGCAAAGACGGGAATTGATTGTGACATGTTCCTCATTGGGGTCGATTTGAGTATGTTTCAGTCTTTTGGCCATAACTTTGGCTACAGGTGTCAGAATTGCGCATAAGACCCCAATCCGGAAAGCTCTTTTCGACGTGCACGCTCTCCACATTACGCTCCATATGGCCTTTTTTTCAACCTCAAATTCTGCCATTTTCCCCTCCGAATCACTAGATTTAGATATTTTTTACTATTTATGGTAATATTTCGATTGTCAATTAGGAAGTCAATTTAAATCCGATTTAGGCCAGATTTTTTGTAGATTGCTTATTTTATTTCGAATTTCAATTTAGAGTGATTTTCGGGATTTTTGCTATTTTTGGCAAAATTCGAATAAATACGATTTTTTGGCTATAACAGTCCAGCTTGTTGACTGATTTTGGATGGTTTTGATTTTATAATATTTTATTAAACCCTAGAGACTTTTTTTTCTCTGGTTTTTTTGGGGCGAATTTTCTCTTGTGAATCATTTGTTGGAGCGCCTGTAGGATAATCATTATTCTGTTCGGCGTCGGTTGATATCAGAGCTTCAACATCTTCTTGGGAAATTTCACCAGTTTCAATGGCTGGAGGTCGTGGTCGTCGTGAGCAAGTTCCGAATGAGGAAGCCCAACGCCGTGATCGCAGCATTCAGGATGTGATGATTGCGGATTTGTAGAGGCAAGTCGTAAAATTAACCCAGCGCCTGGCGGCGTAGGACTTCGAGAATCGTGAGGCCTCTGATCACGATACCAATTCCACTTTCGAAAACCCATATCACAATCGTGCTCTATTCCGGGAGTACCGTGGTCGGGAGGAGCGTCATGGAGACCTCGGTTTTCGGGTCGATCTCCCTGAGTTTTCTGGTACGTTACATGTCGAGGGATTCGTGGATTGGATTAATGAAGTGGAGCGTATTTTTGAATATAAGGAAGTCCCCGATCGTGTGAAAGTGAAACTGATCGCCATCAAACTCAAGGGCAGAGCGTCTGCGTGGTGGGAACAATTGCAACGTTCACGAGAAAGACAGGGCAAGGCCAAAATCACTGATTGGGAGAATATGAAGAAGAAGATGAAGGGTCACTTTCTTCCCTTCGGCTACATGCAAACCTTGTTTCAGCTACTTCATGCGTTGAGGCAGGGCGCACGATCAGTCGATGATTACACGGAGGAGTTTTACCAATTGGTCGCCCGAAACGATTTATCTGAGACGGAGGAGCAAATGGTGGCGCGGTATTTGGGGGGTTTACGCCAGCCCTTATAAGATGTCCTCAGCCTTCATTCACTGTGGAGTGTTTTGGAAGCTTACTAGCATGCACTTGCTGTTGAAAAACAACAAAACAGGAGACCAGTGATCAGGAACGATCGCAACAGTCGGCCAGTTCATCCTCAGGATTCCCGTCCTGCTCAACAGCCACCGCAGGGTAATTCTAACCACACTATTAGATGTTTTCGTTGTGGTGAACAAGGGCATATGGCGACTGACTACAGGAAGCCTGCTAGTCAAAAGGGCAAAAATTTGTTGATTGAGGAAAACGCGGAAGACGAGACTGAGGAGATTGGCGAACCCGTGTATGACGATGTTGAGACTGATGATGTGCTGTATGGAGATGGTCATGAGACTCTGGTCGTTCGCAAGAGTCTACTTACTTCCAAGGGCGATTCAGGGGACGATTGGTTGAGAACCAATATTTTCCACACGACCTGCACAGTTGCAGATAAAGTCTGCAAAATGATCATTGACAGCGGCAGTTGTGAGAATGTAGTGTCCGAGGAGGTTGTCTAGAAATTGCAGTTGAAGACGAACCGTCATCCTAAGCCATACAAGCTGCCATGGCTAAATAAAGGCAGTGAGGTAACAGTTGATATTCGATGCCTCGTGTCTTTTTCAATTGGTAGAAAATATTTTGATAATGCCTGGTGTGATGTTGTGTCTATGGATGCGTGTCATATATTGTTGGGTCGACCCTGGCAGTATGATCGCAGTGTCATTCATGATGGACGGAAGAATACCTATTCCCTTAGCATCATGGGAAAAAAGATTGTGTTGGCACCCCGACGGGAAGGACTCACTCCTACCCTAGTAACCTATAATACTACTATGCTTTCTATGTCCAGGTTTTTAGATGAGATTGAGCATGGCGACGTGGTCTATGCCTTACTACCTTGCGAGAACAATGCAGTAGACGTGGATGCAGATTTACCAGTAGAGGTGCAGCGGCTGCTAGCAGAATTCTCTAACTTGATGCTAGAGGATCTTCCTCCTGGGCTACCACCTATGAGGGATATTCAGCATCAAATTGACCTTGTTCCTGGGTCAAGTTTGCCAAATCTACCAACATATCGCCTCAGTCCCAAGGAGGCTGAAGATTTGCAGCGACAAGTGGAAGAGTTGTTGGAGAGGGGCTATATCCGAGAGAGTATGAGCCCATGTGCAGTCCCTGCTCTGCTAGTGCCAAAGAAAGATGGTTCTTGGCGTATGTGTGTTGACAGTCGAGCGATCAACAGAATTACAGTGAAGTACCGGTTTTCAATTCCCCGTCAAGATGATATGTTGGATCATCTATCTGGTTCTAAGGTCTTCTCAAAAATTGACCTTAAGAGCGGTTACCACCAAATCAGAATAAGACCTGGAGATGAGTGGAAGACGGCGTTTAAAACGCCACAAGGGTTGTATGAGTGGATGGTCATGCCTTTCGGGCTATCCAATGCGCCTAGTACGTTCATGAGATTTATGCATCAGGTCTTGCGGCCTTTTATGGGGAAATTTGTTGTAGTTTACTTCGATGATATCCTCGTTTATAGTCCGACATGGACTTCAAACTTCGATCACCTCCGTGCTGTTTTTGAGATGCTGAAAACGGAGTGCTTGTTTGTCAATCAAAAGAAGTGTTCTTTCTTCACTACTTCTGTGACTTTTCTTGGTTTTGTTGTGTCTACTGATGGTGTTCATGCAGATCAGTCAAAGGTAGATGCAGTCTTGGAGTGGCCCGGACCAAGAACCTTACATGACATCCGAAGTTTCCATGGCTTGGCGTCTTTTTACCGTCGATTCATTAGAAATTTCAGTACTCTGATCTCCCCTATCACAGAGTGCCTCAAGGGGCATGATTTCCAGTGGTCTGAAGAGGCAGAGGCCAGTT